CCCGCCGGCCCCGCCGCACGGCGACGGCATGGGTGCCCTTGGCCCCTCCGTGCCTCCGGCAGCGGGGGGCAGGAGGGGCTTGGGCGCAGGGGGCAGAAAAGGGCCCTGCCCGCAGCCGCTGGGTGACGGGGGTTTTGGCAGCACTGGCACTGGACAGACTTCTCAAGTCGGAGTTCGAAAGGCAACTAAGTCAAGCGCCTTATGCTACATGGGGAACAATCCTATAAAACTGTATTTGAATTTACAACCACACACACCGTCATTTCAGGCCCAGCTGGATACAAGCCATCAAGTTCAGTTACATGAGGAACATTTAACAAAGACCGCTTAAGCTGCATGTGTTGGCCGTCATGGCCAAACGCCCGGGCAGGGAGCAGCCCCTGGACCCCCGGACACGCCACCAGGGCCAAACGGGCTCCAGAGAGCATCCACTGGCTCTGGCAGGAGAGGCGGAGGGAGCGCTTGCCTTCTCAGCACCCGGTCCCCTCTCCTCCAGCAGGCACCCACTGCTCACCCACAGCACCCACTGCCAGCCCCTTCCTCCCACAGCCTGGCTCACCCCGGCTCTGGCCGAGGCAGGGAAAAGGCAGGGGTCCCTCTTGCTCTAAAGCCTGGAAGAGCAGAGCCCACACCAACCCGAGCAGCCAAACAAAACCAGTCCGAAGCAAATCCTAAGAAAAGAACAAACCCCTTAGTAAATAAGAGCCCAAGGGAATAAATGCATCTAAGTGATGTTGATTTGCACAGATACTGCACACCCTCCTGCGAAATAAAACAAACCCTGGTATGGTGTAAGGGGTTATATTTAGCTGTAATAATCACAGTGAGAGGGCTACACACCAATGAATACCTGATTTTCTTCAAGGAAAAAAAATAAAGTGTAAATGCAAACCAAGATTAAAATCATTCATTTAAATGCAGATTTCTGGCTTGATGATTTTAATTACTGATTTAAAGCAAATGCATCCTTTTTATCAGAAATGATTGCCACTATGTTACTCCAGTTCATCAGTTTAGCTTCCCTGAATTGGATTAGACAGATTGATGTAGAAGTGAATTCATCGTAATATAAACCAGTTTTACTGCGACATAATTAACCAGATGGTATTTTATAGAGAAATTAGATACTCCAACAAGAACAGGTTACAACTTTTCTGTAGAGAAAATGATGATTCTGTATGAAATGGTGGAGAGGAGTTTGCTATTGACTCAGAATGGGACTGTGTCTCTCCATTGCAGGATTTCTAGTGCATGTGCTTTGTGATTTGGGCTGTGATTTAAATCTTGTACATTTGTAGTCTAGGCATGCATTTTTTAACAGGACCACTGGCATGGTTTGCAAATGCGGATGACACCAGGACCATGTGTTTATATACAAGTGTTTTCACGGTACTCAGAGAAGACAAAAATACCAGTAATATAGTCATTATCACAGTCCTAGCTCTCAGGCTAGGGACTGCCTGTCTGCAAGTCAGATGGGTCCATGCACTTTCTACTCCTGGTCTAATCATGTACCCTGCAGCATTATGGCAACCCTGTATAGTTTTATAGTTTAACATCTCACTTTCATTTAAATTAAAGATTTTATTTTTTTAAAAAATATTTCTGTCATTAGAATATTACAACCAGAATGAAACTCCAACCTGTTACATCCACATCTGCATTTTTTCATCTGGGTTTAAACCTGTCTGTCCCAGGGAAAGCGACAGCTCATCAGCTTCCAGTCCATAGCAAGGAGGCATCAAACCCCTTCTTACCCACAGAGGAACCTGGAGAAGCTGAAAGCTTCATTAGGGCTGCCTAGATTTTAGACAGACAGCTGAACTCACGGATGCTATTCTCTGCCAGAGCTCCTTTTCTTTTTCTAGGTATCATGGCTTTTGGTATCTTCCCCTTTGGAGAGCTCCCTGATTGCAGGGAGACTGCAATAACAGAGAAAGTGTAGTAGTCTAGTGCTTTGTTCTGCTTTGATCAGAAGTAGAAGTCATAATTTTTCCATCACTTAATGCTTCCCTAAGTACATATTCTTGATTCTCAGAAGCCATCTCTTCAAGGGAAGAGGTATTATGCATATTTAGGATGCTAACAAAGTTGAAGGACTCAGACATATTGAAGTCACAGTTCATAAGAGACTCCTTCCTTTCTATGAGCACTGTAGCACGTAATATAATCCCACTAATTCACAGCAAAATCCCCATAGGAATAAGTTTTCTCATGCACTTTAATAGACCTTCAAGCATTTCACCTATATGTGCTCCAGAAACGTATTTAAATGGGTAGAAGAATCATTGTAGCCTGAAAAGGGAAGCTTGGATTTAATAAGAAAGGGCTTTAACATTCTGCTAAAAACAACCAATGTGGAAAAGAGGAAGGTGCAAGAGCATCACACACCCCACATTTTTGCTTTGCTGTCACACAAAACCATTAGGAAAAAAGCAGAAAAGACAAGTGAAATTTTGCAGCGTATGTGCTGTGTAGAGGAAATTAATTTCAGTAATCAGCACTTGTGGTAGAAATCCTTTCCACTCAAAGGGAAGACTCTTCAAATATATTGCTACTAGATTTCTCCTGTAGACCCACTGACATCACCAACTTTTTCCAAATGGCAGAGCCACCGCTGCAGAGATGCAGTTCCAGCACAGTCAGACAACATTATTTTGGACATTTAGTAATTGGTAAAAACAAAAGAACCCAAACAACCTCGCCCTATTTCTCAGTTGACAACTCAGAGAAAAATCAGAAAGGGGACAACTGGCTAAATACTGAAAACCAAAACACAACACCTACTCTCTGGTGAGGATTCATAACCACACTCCCTCCTACACAACTGGGATCCTTTTAATCATTTTTAATGTGAATGGACATTCCCAAATGTGTTAATCTGAACTAAAAGCACATCCTCATCCTTTTAATACAAGAATGTCCAGGTTGAATGGGAAGTATCCAAGATGTGTGTCCAGAGATGTACATTACTAAAATATGGTTGTTCAAGTTCCCTATAAACATGTTTGTGAGAAAAATGATCCCATTGCAAAGCAGACTAACATTTTTAGGAAGATTTTTCATAGAATTATGAAAAGACCTTTAAGATCATTGAGTCCAACCGTTAACCTAACACTGCCAAGTCCACCACTAAACCATGTCTCTAAACGCCACATCTACACATCTTTTAAATACCTCCAGGGATAAAGACTCAACCGTTTCCTTGGACAGCCTGTTCCAGTGCTTGACAACCCTTTTGGTGAAGAAATTTTTCTTGATAACCCATCTAAACCTCCCTTGGCATAACTTGAGGCCATTTCCTCTTGTCCCAGAGCCAGCATTCAATGGTTCTAATACCAGCATGTGGAATGCAAGATACATGGAGGATTGAACTGAATTTGGCTGATAACACTCATCTCTTCATCAATGGGAGTAAATGACAACCTTTTTTCTTTTCCTGGAAGAGAAGGGCAGAAGGCATTTTTACCAAAGAGGTCCCAGTGTCCTGAGAAGTTAAGCTGTTCAGAGATAGACTGTCTCCTATGCAATGTCAACAGCAAAAGAAAAAAACTCTGTGGAGAAAGAGGAAAATCCAGCAGTTTCAGGTTACAGAAAATCACTTTCATCTTACAGAGGAAAATAACAATAACAGAAACCCCACAGCTCAAGGGATTTCTTGTTCTCTTTTTCCTCCTAGCTGTCCCCAACCTTCAGACTGTAAAGCTAGCAAGAGGACTTTCAGGAAACAAGGGCAGGTTCCACTTGTGCAATCTACTTTCAGCATGTCAGGACAGGTGGTACTGGCCCCTCAGAGCATGGGAGGGAGCCTGCCCCTCTCATGTCCTAGACCCTTTAGTGAGAGGTCTCAAAACTAATTTCATGCAAAGATGCTGCTGGATGATGGCACATTTCAAGTGGTTTGGTGTTCAGGTGCTCAGGCCAACTGAAGGAAGAATCCTCAGGCTGGGTTCCCATGCCTCTCCCTGTGTTCAGCAAAGGTTGTACATGTTTGCTGGGGATCCCTCCCCTGGCATCATTGCCTAGGTACTGGGCTCTTCCACCACCCTGGGCCCAAGAAGTCCTCACTGGATCTCTGAAAGACATTTTAAACCGGGGAGATGGGCTCAGAGCCAGTGTTTACCCCTTTAGAGTGCGCTGGGCTTGGTGCACCGCTGTTCTGCAGCCTCTACAGCATGCTCCGGAGATCAGCAGTCCTTTGGCCTTCAAGTGGTTTGTATGCTGCCACAGGCCTTTCAGAGGGCTCAGAGCTTTACGATCATTTAACATCCAAGCTAGCAGACAGATTCTCTTTCCACAGATCCCTTATCTCAGTAATCTGAAGGCAGAGAATCACTGCTATCAAGATGTGCTGAGGATGGGACAGGTGTCACAGGCACAGTGCCAGGCTGGGACCAGAGTCCAGCAATGCCCAGGGCAGGCAGCACTGCTTGGCAACTGGACTGGCCATGCACAGACAGATAGTGTGCTTTGGTGACATGGTGCATTAGCAAGCACAGGTAGTATGTCTGCTGTGCTATGGTAAATCAGGAGTGACAAATAAAGTTAAAAAATGTTCTGAACTCAGAAACAGAGAAGGGGAAATGTGGGAAATTAATTCAAGTAAGGTAAATGCAAAATGCACCCACATTGTCTGGCAAGTGTAACTTCGGCCTGATTACTCTGTGGATTTTTGACTTTTACTGCTCAAAGCACCAGGGCCTCTTGTCAAAACAAAGTTGCCTTAAAAATCTGGCACTAACCTTCTTCAACTACCTTCACAGCAAACTGCCTGTATGGGACCCACTCAAATGCTGTACTTTGTTGTGAGGCATCACTGGTTTTGTAGCCACCATGCAGAAGAGCCCAGCATGCTCACATGGTCCACGCAGCAAAGAGTGAGCAGGTTGCTGGCTCACAGCATAGCTGCCTTCATCCACCACCCCTCACCCTGGGCTAGTTCTT